GAGCATACAGAGAGAAAGGGTCTTGAGACTAAAATGTTAGGAGCAAACATCCTCTTGTTAGAACAAAAACACTGCAGAGCATGAGGAAAGAGAAAGGACGAAGCCTTGACCCTTCCTGATCCGGAAAGTGCAATTCCAGAGACAATGATGATGTTCAGTAATTAGTCCTGAATGCAGAGGTCAAACTCAGCAACAACTCAGACAGAAATGCAGAAATCTTGGCAAGCACAAAGAGTACTTCTCAGAACAGCCTAGCAAGATGAGAAACCCAAACCAAACCCACCAGACTGAGGCAGCCACAGACTCCCTGCCTCCAGGCTGTGACTCTACATGTTCAAGTCTGCAGGCAACTGAGGAAGCAGGTGCAGAGAAGACAGGCGAGGACCCAGGAAGGGTGTGTCATGCTTCAGGGGGAGCCTGGAGCACATGGGGAGTGATTACTAGATAGTTGAAAGGAGTCAGTGTACATCCTAAATGCATGAGTGAAAACCTAGGCTAATAAATTTGAACAACTTCCTAATTCTTCATTGCTGTAATATTTTTGAAAGTGTTCTGTATTACAATGTTCCTCATTCCTTAGATGTATATAACCAAGAGATATAAAAAGATTGTCCAAGGTCATACAGAATGTCTGTGTCTGTGCATGAGATAGCTCCACAGATGTTTAAAATTTGCCAGAAAAAAAAAAAAGACAGCTTTTCATTAAATATAGATGGCTGAGCACACGAAGACATGATCAGAGTATAAGAAAAGACCATGGATATATGTTTGTTATGAAATACATTAGTGAGTGCAGAGATTTGAATGATGACTTCATGAGCTATGTCCAAATAATAAATAAGCATGAGGCCTCTGTAGTGCTTTTTAATGAGATGAGTTATCAAAATGAAGTTTCAGAGATAGCTGGACTAAGCAGAAATGTTCTGACGAGCTGGAAGCAGTTACAAATGTTGCAGGAAATTTGGGAGGGAGGTTCTGACAGGCACCTGTCAAGAACTAAGAAATTTAAGGCCAGCAAAATGGAGGTTTTTCTTGCCAAAAGAAAATGAAAAACATGTCAAAATGGCAGCTGCCACTCAAGAGTTTCAGGAAAACAGGTCACGGAGTGCAGAAAGAGGCCCAAGTTTTCAGACCTTGTTTATAATTATCTATGATTTTTACAATTATTTTTTATCACTACAATATATTTGCCTATATCTGCGTGTGTGTGTACAGATATATAAAGGGGGGTGTGTGTGTGTGTGCGTAGAATCCGAGGGGTTCCAAACTGTTTAGTAGATATTACAATATATTTACAAATATATTTATCTATTGCAAAAACTGTTTACAATAACATTCACTACTTTTATAATCAGAATAAAAGATGCAACCTTATTTTAAAGGGTCTTTGGAATACCTTCATTTTATAGAAACAGAACTCACCTCTCTGTGTAATTTTTCTTTAGAGAATGACTCATTAGTCATATTAAAGGCAGTACAAAGTAAGCAAACAAATTTTTATGAGTAAAAAGAAGGGAAAGACCACCTGTGCTATCAATTATGCTGTTTTAAAATGTAAAATTATTCAAAATTAATTATGAGGTTACAAATGGATCTGATTAGACTATACTAATGAGTCATATTTTCATTAAGTTTAGACTATAAGCACCTCCAAAAAGCATAATTATTCAGATGAAAGGGGGAAAAAGCAGGTTAAAAGCAATAGAACAATGCATAGATTTGGCATAAGATTCTTTGATCTTTTTATTATACTAATTATGCCTTACAGATCCAGAATTTTTGAAAAAATTAAACACAAAAATTGAAGAGTAGATAACAAAAACTTTAGAACTAGTAGAGAAAAATGTCTGATAGTGGATACAGTCTTTTTTCCTACTTGTGAGAGACTTAATTATTCAAGTTTTCTAGAAGACAACAATTTACATGATTATACAGGTTTCTATGTGATGTCTTAGAGGCAATACTATCAGCAAAGCTAAACCATTCTGAGAAATTTTGTTCTTATTTGAAACA